GTCCCACCCAGGAACTGAACTGGTCACCCTTTGGTTTGTAGGCCAGTGCTCACTGAGCCACATCAGCTAGGGCAGAATACCCACTTTTTTAATATTGAGGGCTTGGTCCTGCTTTACAGTAATAACTTATCAACATCTAGCTGCATGTAAATGTTACATATCCTCATCTGCAAATGGAAGGTCCTGTATTAAATGAACCAACCCTAAGATTTTTTCTGAAGGGCAGGTTTCATGGAACTGTGACCTGTGCAGTCACAAGACTCCACACTTAGAAGGGCCCCCCACTTGCTTAAATGCTCCACTGTCAGCATCATGAAATTCTCATTCGTTTTTAAATAAGAGGCCCCACATTTTCACTTTGCACTGAAATGACAATATACAGCTGGTCCTATTCCCTGAAACTCTGACATTCATAAGTCTATAAAAGCATACCTCCAGGGCTCCAGGCACAGTGAAGACTGAAAAACCAAAGCTGAGTTGACCAATGTTCCGTTAGTTTCAGAATGACTTCCAGAACAATTTTCTACCTCTATCAGAAAGTATCAAATGTACATTGAAAATAATTCAAATGTAAGGGACTGATTTCATTTTTAAATATAAAAAATATTAAGTATATGGGATGTCATTATTACAATTCATGTCTTCAAAGCAGAGAATCTAAAAGGATTAATACTAAGCAAAGAGAAAGCAGATGACTATAATCAGTATAAAAAAAAATAATTCACTTTGTCTCCTAGTCATGACTCTCAAATGCTCCTATGTGTCTTTCCCACCTTCCACTTCTTTAATAATTCTCTTAGAGGAAAACTTTTTTTTCCCTGAGAGCCTTAATAATATCTATGTTGTAAAGAATTAAAACAATATGTAGAGCTGTAATTAACCCAAATAAGCTTATGTGCAGCAATGCTTTCAACTCATACATTTAACACAGGGGTTCCCAACCCTTCCCACCAGGCCACACAGCTGGAGGTAAGTGGCTAGCAAGCAACTGAAACTTCATCTGTATTTACAGCCGCTCCCCATCGCTCACATTACCTCCTGAGCTCTGCTTCCTATCAGATCAGCAGCAGCATTAGAGTTTCACAGGAGTGGGAACCCTGCTGTTAACTGTGCAGGCGAGGGACCTAGGGTGCATGCTCCTTATGAGAATCTACTGCCTAGTGATCTGAGGTGGAGCTGAGGCGGTGGTGCTAGTGCTAGGGAGTGGCTGCAAATACAGATCACCATTAGCAGAGAGGTGTGATGCACAGAGACCATAATAAATCCATTGCTTGCAGACTGATGTCAAAACCCTATCAGAGTGGCAAGTGACAATTAAGCTGCATCTTGTGGCAGGCTTTATAGTGGCGAGTTGATGCACTTCAATTGTAGAGCTTTAAGTCAGGATCCAACGCTTATTTTAGTCCATGCATGGCCTGCCCATTATTTTATTTACCACTTCTATCTGTGCCTCTTTCTCTCACTGCGTACTTGTCTCAGGTATGGTTTTGGTAAGCCCACAAGATAACCCAAGCCAAAATCAGTAAAAAATGAACGTCACTGAAGAACTTTGAATATGGGGAAAGACCCAATGATGAGACAGCAGAAGACTCTAAGATTGCCACAAAAAAGGAGGCTGCATTTAAAATAAAATACCAAGAGTCCTACTTAAATTATGGGTTTGTTGCAACAGGTGATTCACATTCTCCAATCCCACTTCGTATAATATGTGGCGACCAGCTACCCAACGAAGCCATAAAAATTTCAAAACTGCTTCACCATATGGAGACCAAGCACCCTGCCTTAAAAGACAAGCCTTTGGAGTTTTTCAAAAGACAAAACAAAACAAAACAAAACAAAGACCAGAAGCAACTATTGAAGGCTACCAATTCATCAAATGTGTCTGCATTGAGAGCACCATTCTTAATGGCTAACCACATTGCTAAAGCTAAGAAGCCCTTTACTATTGGTGAAGAGTTGATTCTGTCTGCTGCTGAGGACGTTTGTCATGAACTTTGAGGACAGGCTGCAGTTCAAAAGATGGCACATGTTCCTCTTTCAGCTAGCACCATAACTGGACGAGCTGATGAAATAGCACAGGATATTGCAGCACAATTTTCAGGATTAATGGGTCACTATGGTCCACAATCCAGGTTCATGAGCCTACCGATGCTGACAACAGGGCATCAATGCTTGTTTTTGTGCGATAAGTTTTCAGGAGGATGTGCATGAGGATGTGTTATGTGCATGCACTTTTGTTGCCAGCAATACCACAGCTGCAGAACTATTCAAGTCTTCAAATGATTACGTATCAGGAAAACTAAATTGGTCATTTTGTGTTGGTACATGCACAGATGGAGTGGTTGCCATGACTGGACAGCTTTCTGGTTTCACTACTGGGGTCAAAGAGGTTGCTTCTGAATGGGAGTCCACACACTGTGTCATCCATAGAGAAACGCCGGCTAGCTGACAAATGTCACCTTAACTTAACAACATTTTGCAGGATGTGGTTAAAATTATCAACCATATTAAAGTACATGCCCTTCACTCACATCTGTTCCCGCAGCTCTGTGACGAGATGGACACAGAGCACACGCATCCTCTCTTACACACAGAAATGAGATGGCCTTCCAAAAGTGGATCACTGGCCAGAGTTTTTGAGTTCTGAGAGCCACTCCAGAGATTTCTTTTAGAAAAACAGTCACCACTGGCAGCACATTTCAGTGACACAGAATAGGTCACAAAACTTGCTTACTTGTGTGACATATTCAACCTGCTCAACGAACTCAACCTATCACTTCAGGGGAGAACGACAACTGTGCTCACGTCAGCAGACAAAGAGGCTGCATTCAAAGCCAAACTGGAATTATGGGGGTGATGAGTGATTTCTGGGATTTCTGACATGTTTCAAACAGCAGAGATTTCGAAAGAGGCTGAGCAAGGGCCTTCTTTCTCCCAGATGGTGCATAATCACCTGTCCTAGCTTTCAGAAGAGTCTGAGCATTACTTCCCCACCACAAAAGACTCCTGAACTGGAAAGGAATGGATCCACAACCCATCTGTGAATAAGCCAGGTGAACTGACTTTGTCTGCACTAGAAGAGGATCAATTGCTTAGTATCACAAATGACGGTGGCCTTAAAAGTATTTAAGACAACTTAAAATCTCTCTACATTCTGGATGGATTCAAGTCAAGCCAGAATATCCTGAGATTGCCACAAAAGTGCTGAAAAGCCTGCTTCCACTTCCAACATCCTATCTTTGTCAAGCAGAGTGTTCTGCAGTGACAGCAACCAAAACAAGATTACAGAGTAGACTGGACATAAGCAACACACTTCAGGAGTCACTGTCTCCCATCACCCCCAAGTGGGACCACCTAGTTGCAGGAAAACAAGCTCAGGGTTCCCACTGATTCTGCATTATGGTGAGTTGTATAATTATTTCATTATATATCATAACATAGTAATAATAGAAATAAAGTACACCATAAATATAATGTGACTGAATCATCCTGAAACCATTTCCCAAATCCCACCAGGTCCATGGAAAAACTGTCTTCCACAAAACCAATCCCTGGTGCCAAACAGGTTAGGGACTGCTGATTTAACACATGCTCTGACAGAGCAAAGAGAAAAGAGTCTCAATGGTAGCAACAGGCTCCAGGTAAAAATACCCAAAGAGAAAACCCCATTTCAAAGAAAAGTTATGAAAAACAAAGCCATTTCCACATCCCGAGACATGGGCCACAGGAACAATGCCTTATTAATCTCATGTTCCCCACATATATTCATACCGCCTTAACTGACCTGAATTTTACATAAAAATTCAATTTTGACCTAACCTTATTGTGTAGATATCCCCTAAAGTACCAAAGATCAGCTTTCTAAAGAAAGATGCAGGAAAAAATACATGAGGATAAAAGTTAAAAGTAAGACAAAACAGCACTGATTAAGTCAGTCAATGCACACAGACTACCACATAAAAAATATACAGCCCTGGCTGGTGTGGCTCAGTAGACTGAGCGAGCACTGGCCTGAGAACCAGAGGGTGGCTGGTTCAATTCCCAGTCAGGGCACACGCCTGGGTTGCACACTGGGTCCCTAGCTGGGGGGCACACAAGAGGCAACCACACATTGATGTTTCTCTCCCTCTCTTTCTCCCTTCTTTCCCCCTCTTTAAAAAATAAATAAAATCTTTTTTAAAGTGTACAAATGAAAGTCTTAGTTTTGATAAAAATAGGTAACTGGATTTTTGAGAAACTGGGGTTTGTAATGAGTAGACTGTTATATGACACAACATTATACATATAGTTATATGTTGTATATTCTATGTTATACATATACTGGGTTGGTCAAAAACTCCATTATTATCTTTCCCATAAAATAAAAGACACATTTTTCATTTTTATCAATAACTTTATTGACTGGGATATTTTGAGTATGTTGGCTATCTCCTATATGGCATAATTGATTTTTCTCAATTAATGTCTCAATTTGATCACTATCAACGTCAGCTGGTCTACCCAACTGTGGAGCATTATCCAGGGAGAAATCCCCAGCACAAAACCTCACAAACCACTTTTGACACATTTGGTCAGCCACAGCCCCTTCTCCATACTCTACACAAATTTTTTTTTTTTGCATTTCAGTTGCATTTTTACCTTTCTTGAAATAGTAAGGCATAATATGCTGAAAATGTTGCATATTTTCTTCCATTCTCAATATTAAAATGGCTACACAAAAATTCACCAGTTTTGATGTGTTTTTTTTAAATGCACGCTGATATGACAGCTATTACAATGCAATCTAACAAAATTGTTTCAATTGAAGTTTCAATTGAAGAAAGACAACTAAGCACTACTACAGCCATATTATGGAAAAAACAAAACAAAACTTGTTTTAACCAACCCAATATATTGCTCTTGAATGTGATAGGTACATTCAGGGATTTGCTTCTACAAAGCTTTTATTCTGTTTACTGACCAGAAGAACTGGGAAGTTCTTGTAAGAAAGACTACCTGAATCTGGACTGGCCATGCTCCTACCATGTTCAATGCGTCCTTTGGGCAGGGGCAGGGGCCTTCATCTCCTGTGTCTTGAAGATGCTGCCAGCATTCTTCTCTGTCATCCCTTGCAGCGCTGTTCTAGTTGATATGAGAGAAGACTTGTGCACAACTTCTAGGAGTACCTAAAAAAGGACCAGAGCATGTCCCTTCTTCCCTATGCTGCTGTGTACGTAGAATATGAATCTAAGGGTTTAAGCTCCCTTTTAGGCCACGAAGATGAAGACTAGAACCTGAGATGACAGATAAGAAGAAAGCTAGAACTACCAAGATTCTAGAAAATCATGGAGCCACCATACCAGCTATGAGCTTACACTTACTCCGAGTCTTGTAATCCTGTCCTATGTAACACATACAAGGAACCCAGGAATCCCAAGGCAAGGAGAGTAGAAATCACCACACAGTCAGGCCTCACAAAGGAAAGCAGAAATGCAAAGGCTCTGGGAAAAAAGGGACCCCAGCAGCAGGAACTAACAGGGCGTACTTCAGGGACTCTGTGATGACACAGAGGACACAGTTCTCCAGAAGCCTGCTTCTCCCTTCCAATGCCCAACCAACCCACTCTGCTCTGTCACTTTCACTGCCTCAGAAGTCCTCAGAATGCCTACGACTGATCACAACTTTTTACTCTTTCATGGCACTGTGTTCGACTCCATGCCCTGTCTCAGTCTTGGCAGTTAAATTCTTGGGAAGAGAGAAGAGCTAGTTAACCTTACTTATCTTTTCAAGCCAAGTCATATCCCAGTAGCTGCCACAGGCCTGCCTGGCTACCATAGGTCCTGTGCACACTTCTGAGGGGTACAAAATCTGACCAACCAAGAGTACAGAAACTGCTGGGGTCACGCAGTTTCCTCTGGAAGATGATATAAATATGGTCAGTGCTGTGACTGATCTCTCTCATACAGGGTGGTTAGAATCTGCTTAAACTGCAACTTCCAAATGCAAAAGACACAAACATATGTGATCCAAAATTCTGAACCCCACTTGATACGTTCCGAGGGTATGACCTGGGATTTTACCCATGTCAGAATTCAAATCCAAAACACTACTTTAAAAAGGATGAGGAGCCAAAATGAGGAAGGGCATCCTCTAATGGAAAGTAAAGAAGCTAAAGTTACCCTGCCCTCCCCTGGAGCACTGCATCACCTGAGAGAGAGAAGAAACATCTGTGTTCCAGAAGAAAACAGGGGTCCGATCCAGAAACTGGCATGTCCTCTCTTGAGAACCTTTTCTAATTAACTAGTCTAAAACAGAGCTAAGACAGTAACAAGATTCATTTTAACACTATTACCTCTATTTGTTCTATAAGAGTTAAAAAGTTTTGAAGCCTTAGCTGTTACACGTAAAGTTGAAAGGCAGATGAGACTTTATCACAATATTGTGATAGTCTCAGTGCTATCCACCAAATATTTCTGGTTCTCTTCACAGGCACATGGTAGATTTACACTTTTCCATCCCCTTGAAGAACGGCTTCACTATGTGACTTGCTTTGGCCAATGACGTGTGAACAAAACGACGCCTTATTCCACACAGAAGCTGTGAGAGACTGCATAATCTCCCCTGCTCTGTTTTTATCTCTGACAGTGCTGGCAACCTTCAGGACAGTAAATGCCCCCTCAGCGTGGGTCCCAGAGGGTCTGAGGCAGAGCAGATTCCACAGTCAACCAGTAACGTAGCCAACAAGTTGCGTGGTTTTAAGCCACTCGGATTCGGGGACTGCAAGTAGTACAGCATAACACATCCTGCCTTGACATGTACAAATATGAATGCCTAAATATTCACTATTGTTTGACCACAACTACTAATATAAATACTTGTTTTCAGTTTAACTTCTTTTGATGTTAACAAAAATAGCAGTAAACTGCAACCTTAAAACAAAGGAGACCTGATTTAGCTCTGCAGTTTAGCTGGAAAAAGTCTGTCTAGAAGAGCCAAATGTAAGCACTAAGAAACTACTTGTTTTAAGATTGCCAAAATGTGGATAAGCACTGAGGTGAGAAGGTGAGGATATGGGAGTTAATTACACAATTTTCTCTACTTCTATACATATTTGAAGCTTTCCACAACAAAAAGTTAAAGAAACAGAGAGACACACACACAAAGGACAATCTGAAAAATCTTAAAGAAACCAAAAGGTTTTTTTAAAGTGCGACTGGTTTTAAGCCCTCAGAAAGAAAAAAGTTTTAAAAACAGTTAAAACATTTTACCAGACTACTTACAGACAAGCTGTAGAGATGAAGTGTTTGGGGGCCATCAGAATACAGCAAAAATCTAAGACGGCTCACTGTTTTTCAAAAACCATCCCCTTAATTCCTGATTAGGTTTAACCAGATATTTTCCATGGGTTCTAAAAGTAAAGGGTATTTTAGAGGAAAGGTACGTTACAGCTCATTTGGGGCAACCTTGTTATTACTGGTAGGGACATTTAGGTCTGGTGACATAGGCAAAGTAGAAACTAAATCCCAGGTCCTCTGACTCTAATTCATGCGGCTTCTACCCTGCCAGGTTAGGCCACTAGCCTATTTAACAACACTGATTTTACTTTGAACATCCATCCAGCAGAAGGAAGTTCTCTCTTCTCACTGTAATTCTGCTTTACGACATCAGTTGGGATACTGTTAGCTGTAAGTGAAAAGAGATCACACATCAAACTCCTTAAGTATGTGGAAATTTTCTGACTCATACACCTGTTAGTCAAGCAGTACTGTGGAATTCAGGGTTGGCCCAACCTAGCAGCTCCAACTCCACCCCTCTGTAATTTTCTCAGCTCTGCCACCTTCCTGAGCTGGTCTCCTCCTTGGGTTTGATAACAAGATTACTGCCGCAGCTCAGAGCCTCACATTCACGTTCGACAATGTCTACACAAAAAGAGGTGGCCTCAGACAAGGAAAACAGTCTTTCCCTGAAACTTCTGCACACCTTCCTCAGCCTAAAATGGTAACATGTCTACTTCTAAATCAATCCTTAGCAAGGGGGATGAAACTACAATGATTCCCTTGGATGGTCCACCACTGACTGTCACACAGGAGGGAAGAAGAGAGGCCATGATTGGGAGGAACCACATGTCGCCACAAGGACAGGCAGTGTCCCTAAGCAACAGCCTAAAGAGCCTTGGGAAGTTGAGAAGTTACCTCACTAACTCTTTCTGAATAAATTACAGAATTGGTGTGTGTATGAGAGAGAAAGACATGGTGCTATCATTTAAAATATGCACAGATATTCTAAAATTAATAAAAGGCCAAACCTAGTTAAGAGTATTCTTAATAATTTTTATTTTTTAAGTATTTTTTATTGATTATGCTATTACAGTTTTCCCAACTTTTTCTCTCTTTATCCCCCCTCTACCATGGCCCCCCAACCCTCCAGCATTCCCCCCTTAGTTCATATCCATGGGCTGTACATATAAGTTCTTTGAGTCCTCTATTTCCTATACCATTTTTATCTCTTCCCATCTATATTATGCCTACTAATTATGCTTCTTCCCTGTACCTTTTCCCCCTTATTACTCCCTTCCCACTCCCCACTGAAGTCTCTCCACGTTCTCTCATTTCTCTCATTGTTTCTGTTCTAGTTGTTTGCTTAGTTTTTGTCTTGTTTTTCTTTACTTTTAGGTTCATTTGTTGATAGCTATGAGTTTGTTGTCATTTTACTGTTCACATTTTTTATTTTTAAGATAAGTCCCTTTAACATTTTATATAATAATGACTTGGTGATGATGAACTCCTTTAGCTTAACCTTATCTGGGAAGCGCTTTATCTGCCCTTCCATTCTAAATGATAGCTTTGCTGGATAGAGTAATCTTGGATGTAGGTCCTTGCCTTTCATGACTTCAAACTTCTTTCCAGCCCCTTCTTGCCTGTAAAGTTTCTTTTGAGAAATCAGCTGATAGCCTTATGGGAACTCCTTTGTAGGTAACTCTCTCCTTTTCTCTAGCTTCTTTTAGAATTTTCTCTTTATCTTTAATCTTGGGTAAGTTAATGATGATGTGCCTTGGTGTGTTCCTCTTTGGGTCCAACTTCTTTGGGACTCTCTGGGCTTCATGGACTTCCTGGAAGTCTATTTCCTTCGCCAAATTGGGAAGTTTTCCTTCATTATTTGTTCAAGTAAGTTTTCAATTTCTTGCTGTTGTTGTTCTTTTCCTTCGGGCATCCCTATAATTTGGATGTTGGAACAGTTCAGGTTGTCCCAGAGGTTTGTAAGACTCTCTTCACTTTTTTGAATTCTTGTTTCTTCATTCTGTTCCATTTGGATGTTTATTTTTTTCCTTTTGTTCCAAATCGTTGCTGTGAGTACTGGTTTCCTTCTGTCACTGTTGGTTCCCTGAATTTTTTGCTTTATTTCATTTTGGGTATCTTTCATTCATTTTTTTCATTTTTTGACCAAGCTCAATCAGATCTATGAGCATTTTGATTACCAGGACTTTAAATTCTCCATCAGATAGGTTGGCTATGTCCTCATCACTTAGGTCTCTTTGTGAGGTTTTGCTCCATTCTTTCATTTGGGCCATATTTCTTTGTCTTGGCACAGCTGGTGAGTTGTAAGGGGGCAGAGCTTTACATATTCACCTAGGCAGGGCAACCCTTTTTGCTGCGCTGCCTGTGGGGGAGGGGCGGAGAGGGAACAGTGCGTCTCACCTGCTGATCTCTAGTGCACTTTCACACAGACTCTTGTGTGCGACTCGGAGTTTCTCCCACCATGGCGACCGCCATAGTCCACTTTCCCCTTCAGTCAGCCTTGCCTGGGCAGCCTGCCACCTCGCAGTGGTTTTTCTCAGCTGGCCAGCCTGAGTGGGGCGCGGTCCACCGCCTTACTGGTCTGGTTGTTCTGACTGATTTTTTTCTTTAATTCCTTGGTTGTCAGAGTTCCATGCAGTTTGATTTTCTGGTGCTTCCGGTTGTTGATTGATTTTAGATTGGTTGTGCAAGGAAGCAAAGGGTTTCTACCTATGCCTCCATCTTGGCCAGAACTCTAATTCTTAATAATTTTTTAGAAGATTTCATTTTTAAAGAGAGGGGAAGAGAGGGAGAAAAAGAGAGAAAGAACCATCGATATGTGAGAGAAACACTGACCATTAATCATACGCCCCTCACACATCCCTAACCCAGGGCCTGGCCTGCAACCCAGG